GTTGATTTTCTGCTTAGATGATGTGTCTATTGCTGAGAGTGGAGTATTGAGGTCTCCTACAATTAACGTTATCAATATGACTCTTTATTTTGGTTAACAGTTGGCTTATGTAGATGGCTGTTCCCATGTTGGGGGCGTAGATATTTACAACTGTTAGATCTTTTTGTTGGATAGACCCTTTAAGAATCATATAGTGTCCTTCTGTGTCTCTAACTACAGTCTTTAGTTTAAAATCTGTCTGATATAAGAATTGCTACCCCAGCTTTCTTTTGAGGTCCGTTGGCATGGAAGACGGATCTCCATCCCTTCACTTTCAGTCTGGATGTATTTTTAGGTTCAAAATGAGTCTCTTGTAGACAGCATATGGATGGGTCCTGTCTTTGTATCCAATCTGCAACCCTGTGCTATTTTATGGGAGCATTTAGGCCGTTCATGTTGAGAGTGATTATTGAAAGATATGAATTTATTGTCATCATGTTGCCTGTGAAGACCTTGTTTTTATAGGCTGTCCCTGTAAATTTCTGTTCTATATCACTCTTGGGGTCTTTCTCCTTTTATAGAACCCCCCTTAATATTTCTTCCAGGGCTGGCTTAGTGGTCACCTAATCTTTCACTTTCTGCCAGTCTTGGAAGCTCTGCATCTCTCCAACCATTCTAAATGACACCCTTGCCAGATAAAGTATTCTTGGCAGCATGTTCTTCTTGTTTAGTACCCTGAATATGTCTTGCCAGCCTTTTCTGGCCTACCAGGTCTCTGTGGATAGATCTGACGTTATTCTGATGTTCCTCCCTCTGTACATAAGGAATCTCTTCCCCTTAACTGCCCTTAAGGTGGTTTCCTTGGTTCTCAGATTTGCGAGTTTTCCTATTGCATGCCGGGGTGTTGGCCTGTTTTCCTTGATCTTGGGAGGGGTCCTCTCTGCCTCTAGGACACGAATGTTTGTTTCATTCCCCAAATTAGGGAAGTTCTCAGCTACAATTTGCTCAAATATATCTCCTAGTCCTCTCTTTCTCTCTCTACCCCCTTAGGGATCCCAATAATTCTGACAATGCAACGTTTCATGGTGTCACTTATTTCTCTGATTCTATTTTCATGGATTCTGAGTTGTTTTTCGCTGACCTACTCTTTTCCCTTCTTGTCTATTAACTGGTCTTTAGATCACTAATTCATTCTTCTGCCTCACTTACCCTAGCTGTTAGATTATCTAGATTAGATTGGATCTCATTGACAGCATTTTTAAGTTCTGCCAATTCAGCTTTCATTTCTGCCTTTAGAGACTCTATGTTGCCATTAATCAATTTCTCCCTTCTAGCTATTGTCTTCACAATTGCTAGCCTGAATTCCATCTCCAACATCTTGGTTATATCTGTATCCATTTGTAAATCTGTGGCATAAGTCATAGTCTCTGAGTCTCTCCTATTTTGGGGGTTCCTCCTCCTAGTCATTCTGTTGATGGGCAGTTGAGGTAATGTACAGAGTCCAAATTATTGACCACAACCCAAGCAAGATGCATCTGTTTTCTAGGGATCTTAGGGTTGTTGGCCTCTTGTTTCCGCAGCCTGTCTTCTGGAGGAGGGGCCTGCCATGCTGTTACTCAGGTAACCCTGTTTGGGCAAAGTTGCCCTGCCCTATGTGGCAGGGGATGGGCTCAGTGAAAACCGGTCTTTTGTGGCTTCTGTTCTCTGGTGGTTTTCCCTCACGGTTTTCCATGTCTCTTCCGAAAGTCAGAGCAGAAGAGATCGTTTCCAGCACTCACCTCAGAGCAGAGAGATCACAGTCTTCTCTTCAGTGAGCTCTCCAGACCACACTATCTCTGTTTCTGTCTGTGCTGCTATAAACTGCAGTGTCTTGGGCTGTGCGCCCCTCCACAGCACTCCCAGTCCTCGCCTCCAGATCGGGGCACATCTCTGCCCTTTGTGCTTCTAAAACCACTAGCCACCCCCAGTTTGCACATGCAGCCCCACTGCTCCAGGTTTCCGTCTGGGGGGCTGCCCTAAAGTCCTTTCCCTGTCGCTACCGGTCTGCAAGTCTGTGTCCAGTCCCCAGCACGGGAGGCTATCGATCACCCATGGTGTAGGATCCCAACAGCTCGGCTCCCTCCCCCTTCTGTTTATCCTCCGATATCTGCCCACAGAATCACGGCTCCCCGCTTCGTACTTCAAAACCAAACACCTGCGATATTCTGTTTGTAGAGATCCAGATCTGTCTTCTTACATCTCAGGCTGATTTCGTGGGTGTTCAGAGTGGTCTGGTAAATATCCAGCTCAATTTTGAGGATGGTTGGAATAGGGTCCCCTACTCCTCTGCCATCTTTTCCCATAGTACTGTATTTACAAAAAAGTCTGCATATAAGTGGACAAATGCAGTTCAAACCCATGGTGTTCAAGTTTCAACTATACCATGAACAATTATATGCCAACAAATTCAACAACTTAGAAGAAATGGATAAATTCCTAGAAAGATACAATCTACCAAGACTGAATCATGATAAAATAGAATATCTGAACAGAACGGTTACTAGCAAGAAGATTGAATCGGTAATCAAAAATCTCCCCAACAAACAAAAGGCCAGGACCAGATAGCTTCACTGTTGAAGTCTACCAAAATTCAAAGAAGAATTAATACCATCCTTCTCAAGCTCTTCAAAACATAGAAGTGGAGGGAACACTTCCAAACTCACTTTATAAGGCCAGCATTACCCTGATATCAAAATCAGACACAGAAACCACAAGAAAAGAGAACTATAGTCCAATACCCCTGATGAACATAGATGTACAAATCCTCAACAAAATATTAACTGAATTCAACACTACATTAAAAATATCATACACCATGGGATTTATTCCAGGGATGCAAGGATGGTTCAGCATCCACAAATCAATAAATGTGATACACCACATTAATGAAATGAAAGATAAAAATCATATGATAATCTTAATAGATGCAGGACAAACATTTGAGAAAATTCAACAACCATTCCTGTATTAACAACTACAACCGAGACTTTTTACGGAACATTATGTACTAGGCAGCTTTCCAAGGGCTTTATGTACATTATTTTTAAAAATATTCATGAATCCTATTGTATAGTTGAAGAAACTACTAATTAGACTACGTACGTGCAGAGGATCATACAGTTAATATGCAATGAATCTGTGCCTTTTCAATCTCCAAATCCATGCCTGTAACCCCACTGTTCTATGACCTTTCCTGGATAAATCTTAACTTATTCTGGTCAATAAGAATTGTTCCACTGATGTTCAAGGCACTTGCCCACAAACAGCATGGCTTTTTCTCTGCTCAGTATGTTGTTTTCTCTAGTAAATAGGCTGCTGTTAATAGGAATGATTGGTTTCCCATGATACGGAGAAAGTCGGTTGTCCAAGATAGTAGCAGAGGTCAGTTACACAGTGTTATATACTTCTCAATCTAACTGGCCATTTCCCCACTCAGTGAATGGCTTTAAGCTGACTTGCCACACCATTAACTGCTGAGATAGCACTACCTAGGGAGTCAACAGGGAGCTGACATTGGTTGTTTCACCTGTATTTGTGATATATTGACGAACTTTCTCCCTCTTGGCACTGTCAAACTTCACTACAGCTAATCTCAGATTTTTCTTGCTTCTTATAACAAGTCACTGAAATCAATACCAGACAATACAGTCTTTCCCTTCTTGATTACAATAAAAGAGTGACTGAATCACATGCCCAGGCTTTATAGTAGTAAAGGGCAGAAACATACATAAAAGACTTTTACACAAAAAGCTTTCTTGGGAGTCTTCGATTAAGGGGTAGCAGTTGTTATATTCCTCCACCAGACTGACCCAACCTTTTCACATGCAGCTGCACAGAAGGAGCAGATAAGGAAACCCTGAAGAGATCTGAAACTGTCTAGAAGCCTATTGAGGATAACAAGGAGGATAGTAACAATAAACCAACACATATTGAGTGTTTACTGTTTTTCAGATATTGTTCTAAGAGCTTTATATTCATTGTCTCAGTTAATCCTCACAACCTTGTGAGATGGAGATACATACCATTACCATGCTGATGTTATGGATAAGGAAACTGGGTCTTATAATCATTAGGAGGCATTTCCAAAATTCCTCAGTTATCTGTTATGGAGCTGGGATTAAAATTCAGGCTAACTACAGAACCTGGGGATTCAACTGCATTCTTATATTGGTATGTGCAAAGCTCTTCTTCAGGTGACAATAATAGGAAATTGCTTTTTGGTGTCTGCTACCATAAAACTGCATTGTCAATCCAAATGGTATTTTAGGGGAAATTACTCTTGAATAGAAACCTCGCACACATTCATATATTGGCCCATATGTTTATTAGCACTCTGAAGGAATCTGTCATAAATGCTATACTGTTCCTTGGGAGAAACTTTAGTTCCTTTGTTGGTGTTCACACTGTACCTGTACTGCTTTTCAGGCGACAGGTTACTGGTTAGATTTCAACCTTGATATAAAGTAACTCTCCACCCAAAGAGTGTAATTCAGAATACTTGCCTCTAGGGAGTGATGCCTCATTATGTAGTACTGGCCAATTATTAGAAAGTCTGACAGTACCCAGATTAAAATTACTCAATTGAAAGAGAAAAACAGATCACACTTCTGTAACTGTACAGTCCTAGCATTTGATCAGACAGGAAAGTTAAGGGAATAAAATACGTTTTCTGAAATGTTTTTCATTAACCTAAATGGTGTTCTTTTTACCTCCTTCTTAAAAACCATAAGGCATGGGACCAAAGGTCAGAAAGGAAAAAGGGTAGAACATTTTGATAGCACTTTTTTTCAAGATAAAGAAGATAAAAGTTATAGAAATAATTTATGCAAAATTAAATTTTTTTCTCAATTTAACACTTTGGGGGTGGGAAGTAAATAATTAAATTCACTGCAAGTTAAATGCTTTCTGGTAATTGATAATGGCAACTGAAAAGAAAAGGGCTATTTTGATATTTAGTGATTTTTAAGAAGGGCAATACCTACCATAACCTATAATTCCAATCACACCCACCATGAAGACCCAGAAGAGGAATCCAGCTGTGAACCTCAGGAGTATCACAAACAACCAACTAAGGAGCATGGCGATAGTCAGGCCACTAGAGGAAAAAGCATACAACACAGACGGGGTCAAATGTGTTAAACATAACATAAAGTTAACAGCAAGACAATATTTTCTATTCAAAATAATTCTCAGCTTATTTTTAGCTGGCTATAGAAATATTTATAATATTAAAAAGTATAAACAATAGTTCCTATTAAGACTTTCATATGAAAGAGTAGAACCATCGGGAACTTCATACAGGAGTCAGTATTTGTGTACCTGGGTAAACAGAAGTTCAGTAGCAACCACAGTTCAAAGAAAAACACAATTCCTCCAACCTACCATTTTGGCCTATCTGCCACAGTTGCCATGCCGAATTTTTTCTCCCCTCCACACGTCTCACTAAGTGATAAATTATAAAACATATCCATGATACTAATAGAAGGAAACCCTATACAACAGAATTATCTAGAAGTAAGGGAACAGTCTTAGGGCAGAAAAGAAAAATAATTGCCCCACACAGTTCCTGAATCCATGATTTTGTAGTCATTATTATGGTCTAATTATCTTTCATAATTTGTGATGTCTGACATCACCAGACATCTATTTCAGGTCCCCAGTGATCTGTAGGCCATTATATGGAGCCATGATACACCTTCTGTATCTCCTGGGCCATATGACTTTATCAAGCAGTCAGCAGCATGGCTTTTTTTTAATTAAAAAAAATTTTTTTAAATTTTTTTAATACTAGAGATACTTTTACCCCCAGCTCATATATCCAGGTTAAATCCATACTGGATTTTTCTAGGTAATTTCATTAAACAGAATTCATTAAGATTAGAAATTTGGATGACGCGTCTATTAAGAACTGATACCTCCGATGCTCCTTCAAGTTTCCAAACAGAAACATAGCCTGGTACATTTATTGAGCTTATTGTCTCCAAGTATTATCTTTTTAAAAAAAATCTTAATAATTACTGTCACTGGATAGATGTCAGTATTGTATCAAAGTACCTTCTAAGGTCACATCCTTGCAGAGCCTATGCTTTCAACTCCAGAAGTCATTCCCTATTAACATCACAGATACTTTAATGCTTAAATATTCAATATGGTTGAAGGATTATTCTATGGCATAGTCTAAGAGGAATATTCAAAAAGGTCAGGGGGAAGAAAAGAAATATAGCTGTTTATTCTCTGTTTTTAATTCCTGGCATAAAATTCTAACTGAATAAATAAAGTCATGGCATATTAGTCTTTGGCTTTATATTTACAAGATAGATGGAGAAGAGAAGGGTCAAAAATAAAGGGAGTGTTTATGTTCTAGTGGTGTGAGCAGTGCCTGGGTGGAGAGGGTTTCAGTGTGTGTTGGGAGTGAGGTAAACAGGAAGGTCTATCATAATGCATACTTTTTCAGATAATAGTTAAAAAGCCAAAATAAAGAAGAAATGTACAAATTATCTAATGATATTTGAGTTTGACAATAGGGGAACCAGTTTAACTATTGTCAAGCATAGACTACAATCTGTGCTATGGAGAGAGATCCTGAAATACTGATACACACGAAAATAATTATTGCATTTAAGACAAAACATTGAAATGAGTAAAATCTCAAAAAACACTTTCTAGTTTTATAGCTCTACAAACTAGTCACTGGTATTTTACATAGTTTTGACTTTATTAAGCATCATATAGTTAAATATATCTATCTTATTCCCCTAGTGGTTTTATAACTGTTCCTTGAACCCACATTTTCTACGCATCTTCTATGTTCCAAGGACCACACTAGGAGTTACAAAAGTAGAGATGAGTTAGACATAGTTACCATGGTAAAGAATTCATAGTTTATCATAGAAAAAGAGCCAGGTAAATAACATAAAATTCTAGGTGCTATATAGATGATAGATATGTGTGTATGTGTGTGTGTGCGCACGCTTGTGCACTCACGTGCATGTGGGTAGGAGGAACACAGGGAAAAAGTAATTATATCTGGAGAAGTCAAGAAAGACTTCGTAAATTACACAGAAGCTGATTTTATTTTTATTTTTTTAAGATTTTATTTATTTGAGAGAGAGAAGGAAAGAGAGAGAGAGAGAGAAAGCACACAAGTGGGAGGGAGGGGCAGAGGGACAGGGAGAGGCAGGCTCCCCACCCAGCAGGGAGCCTGATGTGGGCTGGATCCCAGGACCCTGGGATCATGACCTGAGCTGAAGGCAGACGCTTCACAACCTGAGCCACCCAGGTGCCCCAAAAGTTGATTTTAAATAATGAGATGGAGTTGCCCAGGACACAGCAAGGATGTGCCAGGAAAGAGAACAGAATGTGCAAAAACATGGGGGTTTGACACTCTAGGAATGGGTGTGTTATTTGATGTGTTTAGAATATAGGGTCAATCAAGTAACATGGGTGGAGAAGAATCTGGGACACTAGTTGGACGAGGTTGTAAAGGGCCTTGTAACTATCTGAAGAAGTTTTCTCTTTGCTCTTTGATCACTAGGGAACCATAGGTGATATAAGAGCCAGATAGTAGCAATAGCCTTAAATATATCAAACACAGGTACCCACTCCAGTAGAGTGATTGCATTTTCCCTTACCTTTCAGGAATGCAAATCTTATGGCTAAAAATTTTTAATCTCCTCCTTTCATATATTTTTTCAGCTCTTCATAACTACAGTGACCTTTGATGATAATAACAAACATTATGTGGAAAGGATGTGTTAAAAATAAGAGGGAAGGACAAATGAGAAAACAGACCCAGAGAAATAAAACTGCATCCACTGTAACATAACAATAAGAAGCAAATGTACTACAGATGTTGTCCCTGCATGACTTCAAGTATATTTATACAAGTACTTTTATTGGGAATTTAATGAATAAAGTTCAAATTTACATTCTTATAACTTTTGTAACACTGGGTATATTTCCAAATATCTTTGCCCCATTTTTCAGCCACAGGAACTGAGTCAACCTTTTATTCACAAATATGAATGGGGAATTTTTTAAAAAGATTTATTTGAGAGAGAGAGAGAATTGGGAGCGGGGGAAAGGGTAGAGAGAGAAGCAGGCTCCCTGCTGAGCAGGGATCCTGATGCGGGGCTGGATCCCAGGACCCTGGGATCGTGACCCGAGCTGAAGGCAGACGCTTAACCGACTGAGCCACCCAGGTGCCCTGAATGGGGAATTTGAAGAAGCGTTCTACAAGGATAAAATGGGGCTGGAGAAGAAACACGAATGTTTGCACTTACATGAGAATCCAATACCAAGTTGTTGCATAGTCTTCAAATACTTTCATTCCAATTGCCCTTGCATCAAGGATTTTATTGACACGACTGAATTCAAAGAAGGAAAAAATCAATTATTTTGACTACCACTAAACAGAAATGTTCTTGTTATGATAAAAGGGGTTTGCAAGCTGCTGTTCAAAACATATTTTTAGAAGCCATTTATCAAGAGGCACTCTTTCCTCAGCCACAAAAATATGTAAGATGTCACTTTGGTAGACTACAAAGGCCACTATAGCTACACACACAGAGAATGTGGCTTTCAAGAATGGTGAACAGATCCCTTTTCAACGTATGTGACATGTCCTCAATATTGCAGTGATCTCACTGTAAGAAATGAATTTAAATAAGATCAGTTTTTAGCTTACAAAATCCATAGCATCAAGAATGAACATCATTCTTAATTCCCCTTTCTAAACCTCTGACAGCTGTGTAGCAGGAAGGCACCATGGGGCACATACAGAAAAGTGCACAAATCATTAGTGTCCAGTTTGATGGATTATCAGAAGTGAATGCACTATGCACCTACAATATTGTTCTTCCTTTCCCTCTGTGCCCCAGTTACAACACCTCTTCCTTCCCCGAAGGTAACCACAATCCTGACTTCTGTGAAAATAATTTCCTAGTTTTCTTTTTCAGTTTTACCACTTACATATGCATCGCAGGGTAATTTAATTTAGTTGTGCTTGGTTTTGAATTTTTCTATCAGTGGAACTGCACTTGTACTATTATTTTGTGATTTCTTTCACATAGCTTTATATTTGTGAAATCCATCCATGTTGCTATTACATGTGCAGGCCCATTCTACTTGGACTGCTAAACTCAAGGAAGAGAAAAACATTTTTAGAATATCTTTTATGTTTCACTTTTAATTCAACAATTGAGCTACACAATGATACTGTGTTTGTGCACGTATGCGAATATACCCACCCAGAGAATTATATTTCCCAATACCCTGAAACATCACAATGTGTACACCAAGGAAACAGTAAATTGACTTCATTATAGTTAGTACATAGAAACTGGTATGGTCCTGAAACAGCATTACCAAGGTTGTCTCGCCTTTCTTAAGGCCCTCTTCCCTTTAAGACATCTGGCAGTATCATTATCTTAGTCAATTTTTTTTGAATGGTGATTTAAAAAGCATGTTTTTATTGTGTTCATTCAACAAGTAAATTAAGGTCTTTCAATATGCTTAGTGAGATCCCAATTCTATACCTGTTGATAATCCACGGTGACATGTATATTTCATAATCATAATTCTTCCTCTATAACCCTTAACCTAATGGAAGCTTTCATTTTGTGTACAGTAATAGGATGCATCCAAACTGAAAATAAGAAGGTAAACAAACATACTTTGCAGCTCTCCTGAGTTCTATAGCATTTCTTTTCTTTCCACTTCCATCTTCAAATATTGTCTTATTTCCTACTGTCAAAGTGCCATTTTTAGTAGTGAAGTCAGGGAAACATCTCTGGAGAACTGTAAAAAAATAAAATTATGGCAAACACTTTTCTACTTCTTCCTGTGTAATGTTTTCCCTTTCTTAAGCTTTCTGTTATTTATAATTAAATTCTGGCTAGACAATGTATAAACATACTGCTCAAAATGATAATTGCCCATTACTTGATGGTCAGGTTTTCTGACGGTTCTAAGACACATGTAGAAAGCAAATATGATCACAATCACTCTAAACTTGATTATTTTACACATGGTATATTCATCAAGTAGCCAATAAGTAAGATGCACAGCGCAGGTTTTAAAAGAGTAATATTGATAACATATCTCACATGGTAAAAACATTTTAATAAAAAGGCTACATTTATTGTACGACTGAGTTTACTTTTTCGTTTTAGGATTTTATTTATTTATTTGAGAGAGAGAGAGCGTGTGCACACCGGCAGTGGGGAGGGGCAGAAAAAAGGGAGAAGCTGACTCCCCGCTGAGCAGGGAGCTCAATGAGGGGCTCAATCCCAGGACTCAGGGATCATGACCTAAACTGAAGATGGACGCTTAACCAACTGAGCCACCAAGTTGCTCTGAGTTTACTTTTTCTTTTCTTTCTTTTTTTTTTTTAAAGATTTTACTTATTTATTTGACAGAGAGAGACACAGCGAGAGAGGGAACACAAGTAGGGGGAGTGGGAGAGGGAGAAACAGGCTTCCCCCTGAGCAGGGAGCCCGAAGCAGGGCTCGATCCCAGGACTCTGGGGTCATAACCTGAGCCGAGGCAGAAGCTTAACGACTGAGCCACCCAGGCACCCCTACATTTTCTTATTAAAAAACCTTAGATACTTCTCGAATGAAACATTGAAAATTGGAGATTAGTGAATAATTCCTTAAGAAACAAGAACTAGCTCAAACTTCAGGCTACTAAGACAACTGAATTTTTATTTTTGAAGTCTTAATAATTTGTCTCCCAGCTTTCTCATTTACCTGGTGTTTTGGAGGGGCTGGAAATAGAAATTCTAAAGCTATCAAAATGCCCCACACTTTGTAGACTAGCATAATTTCTCCGAAGAGCTACCTCACTGTTCAATCTTCTATGCACTTATTTTGATTAAAAAAATGCTTGCCTCTTTACAAATCTGTATTATTAAAGTATTTTAAAACCCCAATTTTAAATCAAGAGGGATGAGAAATCAGAAGTGGATCATTTTTATATTTTTTCTTACAAGAAGAATCACAGATTTGCATGGGTTTTCAGGGAATTTAAACTTGAAAATGTTAAAGCAGTTGATATAGGGAAAGAAGAAATAGGTCTTTACCAAGGCTTTTCTGACTTTTTGGGCTTAAAATGATCTCCTGTCTACCTACCTCCATCTTCTGTAGCACTTAAAATATGGCTGATTCCATCAGTATCTTCCTCCTCTTTTTCTGGTTCTTCCCTGGCAAATTTGACATAGTAGTCTCTACCAGCTGCTTCTATTCCCTCTCAATCCAATCACATGCGGCATGCCCCCACCACTCCAAGGAAATTGTCCTCCCAGTGATCCCAATTATCTCCTAATGGCCAAAAACTCCAAATACCTTTTAGTCATCATCCTACTTGAACCCATTACCTAGCACAGTGCTTGGTACATAGTGGAACTCAGTAAATATTTCCTGTTGAGTTAACTTTTCTGAGTCTTTGACATAGTATACAACCCCTGCCTTCTTCCTTTGGCTTACATGCCCAAGTTCTCTCCTGCCCTCCCTTTAGCTTTTCTGTGCGTTTTTTCCCTTGCCACTCCTTAAATTGGACTGTTTCCACCTACAGAGTCCTCCAACCTTGTTCTGGGCAACTTCATCCAATCAGTTAGTTCCAATGACTAAATATGCTCTTTATATATTTGGAAAATAAAGAAAATACGAAGGAAGATAACAAAATACACAGTCCTACCACCCACAATGAACTCTAACATTTTAGATAAATTTCCTTCTAGTCTTTCTTCTACAAGAATTTTTTTTTGAGTCATAACCATAAAATAAATGCAGGGTTTTCCCTTGTTTCTTTCTTTTAATATTACTTATTTCCTTTCATAAACTATTTAATCAGTGAATTTTATTAGCTGTATACTATTCCATTAAGTAGTATACTTAATCACCTATTGGGGGAATGAATACAAGTTGATTGTGATGTTTACCATAATGTCTCCTTCACTGTACTGTGAGGGACTATGCCTTATTCATTTCTGTGTCCCCAGTGTACGTTTTATATTGTGTGATTTAACCAAACTATACTTGTAAGGGCAGGGATGTCTTACATTCTTATGCCTATTATATCTTCAGTGACTAAGGATTCATTTTTATCTTTTTGTAACATTGTTCTTGGCTACTGACACTTGTTGCCCAGGGCTTCCTGGCAAAATGCAGTTGCTTGCAAGACCTACACCTTTACTTTATGGTCCTCAATGACCCAAAGAAAAGGGAGAGGGGTGCATAAGGCATTGTGTTTGGTGGTAGCTACTTCGATGGTACCCAACTTTCTACTCAAATAGAAAATGGTACGTGGCTTTCTACTCCAATAGAAAAAAGAAGAAAGAAGAGAGGAAATGCCCACAGTTTTTTTTTTTTTTAAAGATTTTATTTATTTATTTGAGAGAGAGAGAGCATGAGAGATAGAGAGCACGAGAGGGAAGAGGGTCAGAGGGAGAAGCAGACTCCCCGCTGAGCAGGGAGCCCGATGCGGGACTCGATCCCAGGACTCCAGGATCATGACCTGAGCCGAAGGCAGTCGCTTAACCAACTGAGCCACCCAGGCGCCCAATGCCCACAGTTTTGTCATCTCCAAAATATCCATACTATTTTGGCATATTTCTTTGCAATATTTTTCTTTGAATAGCCTTTTTTATTTTAATTTATACATGCTTGTCATTATAATGCATTTAGAATTTTAATATCATACTATATAATACTTATATTTAATAATTCTAAAATATTTCATTTAATGAATACACCATAATTTATTTAAAGTACTTTCTTGCTCTTGGACATAAGAGTGTTTCTTTTTCCTTTCCTTTTTTTTCCTTTTTGGTTCTTCTGAATAGCATTGTGATGGGCATCTTTATGTAAAGTTGTTTCTCTGTAGTTAGGATTATATTTGTAAGAGTGGGAAATTAGTGGTTATTTTATTTTCTTCTTTAAGAAGTTACTCAAAGTTTATATAAATTTTAAATATTTATAAATCTTAAAAATATAAAATATTGATTCCTTTCAGAGATATATAAATATTTCAAGTTTCAAATTATAGGACAAGTTTATGTCCCACCATTGCCCCCCAGGCAAATTCTGAACAAACTCTTTGGCCGAATTCAGGGGTGAGTGTGCAAGATCATGTCTGTGTGTGCCTATCTGTGCTCATAGAACACCAAATAATCAATCTGGGCTTTTAAAATCAATTTTTAATCTTTTCTGTGTATGTTGATGCAGCAAAACTCCAAAACTACCAGAGCTCCAGTGGAAATATCTCTGGCTGGAGTCAGGAGAATGGGCTTTAGCTTTGGCTTCCTCCTAATTAACTCTGGGACATTGGGCCAGTCATACAACTATTCTTGGCTTCAATTTTGTCAATAGTGAAATAGGAAACTGAATTGAGTAACTTTTTATGATTATATGTTCTAAGATAAGTAATAACCACTTACATGGCTTGCTTGGAAAAATTGCCATTGGACAATCATCATCCAGTAAGACTTGTGTGACAGTCTAAAATGGAAGGAAGAGTATGTTAACATTTCAAAGGCTATGTAATGACAACTTTTACTCTCAGTATAAAAATTGTGTCCTTTGAAAATTTAACTCTGTAATTATCTCATTATTTCATATTACTATCCTAATAAGAGTGGTTTTAAGATTATCACACACACACACATACTTATTTGACAAATGCTCTAAAATGTCCTAACTGTAATTCAATCAAATCAACAATAATAAAACCAGACCCACTGAAGCCAAGACACACCTTTGAAAGTGTGTATTTATGTCTTAGTCACATTCTGAGACTCTAATTCTTCAAAAAATTTTTTCTGGAAAAACAGCATCTTCTCTAAGTTAGAAGCCATTAATACTATTTAACATAATGGGGCTTTAGAATTCCTTTATAAGTCTCAAACCTAGGGTTTGAGGATTTTTTTTAAATGAATAATTATCAAATTGGGTTTGGAAATAAAATTCTACTTGTTACTAAGTAGCCATGGATCTTCATCACCACATTAATGAAATTGTAACATTAATAAAATCAAATGACATTAGCTCCTACATCTTGATGGTAAAAAAAATCCAGCCAAGTAGAGAATTTGTTAGTTTCAGGGAATAGTTAAAGCTAACGTACGAGACTTAAGAGTCTTGCATAACACCTGATGTCTACACAATGCTAAGCTATAAATGGTGCATGTGTGTTTCTATGTACCTTTGTGTTTTAATGCAATAATACATAATCATTTCCTAGATGATTTGGGAGCCTGTCTATTACAAATGCTCATGTTACACTTGAGATTGACACAAAAGTTAAATTCTTCTCTAGTTTTAAGCTTAAACACACATACCTTTGCAGGCTTAACAAAAGGGGATTTGCAGAACTGGCTGTAGTACATCCAATAGTGTTTGTTTGTTCTGTACATAAACTGTATTTCCATGTAAGTTAAAAATTTTTCTGGGCACTTGGAGACACAGATCTGTGAAGAAAAGGAACACAGTGGTGGGAACTCAATTGAGTTGAACAAACCAAGGAAGTAGCTGTAAGATTAGACTTCTAAGTTATCTACCACTATAAAGAGCAAAGCACTATTTTCCATCTAAGAAACTTACGTCAATTTTCTAATTTATGTAAAAAATAAAATTTCATGTACTAGTTATCAATCTCTACTCTTTGCCCTTTGATAATGATTTGTGTTAAGACAAGAAGATGTTGTACAATGACAGACTTGTTTTTAACTTCTGATTTTGAGAAATTGTAGATCTACTTGCATCTGTGAGAAATAATGAATTACACCCAGTTTTATCCAATGGTAATAACTTTCACAATTACAGAACAATATCACAACCAAAAAATCGATATTGTTACCATCATGTAGATTTCACCAGTCTTACATGCATTCATTTATTTGTGTGTGTGCATGCACACACATGCAGTTCTATGCAATTTTATCATGTGTAGATTCATGTGACCACTACCACAGGACAATGATGGATTTTTAATAAAATATTTCCTTATTAGTTTCTGAGTTAGTAGATAAGAATATAATGCAAGATTAATATTTGCAAGATTAATTTTGTCCATGTAGTTTATGTATTTTCAGGGTTAGAGTCTTGCTTCCTTTCCTATATATGAATAAAATGGTCATTAAACATGCTCCAAATATTGATAACTTATGCCACTAATAATTATCAGTGCCAGTGAATTCTCAACAATTCTCAAAATATAATTGGGGATTTATTACTATAAGAAACTAACAAAATTGGGGCTATTTGTGGCAGTCAATCATTATTATAGTCTTTTACCAGCCAAATGTAGGCAGAGAGGTCACCAATGTAATTATTTTACATGAATGACCTTAGAGGGCCTATTAATGCCAAACTAGATCATTGTGCTAGTAGTCCACAGAGTCACTGTGGAGTGACTGAAATCCAATTAGGAACTCCACAGAGAGAAAGCAGAACCCGAGAAGATACACTCTATTGGCTTTGCTTTTGTTTGTAATTGAAAACAAAAACAAAGATCCTAGTAAGCCATGAGAGTTGCAGCCCTTACACATTCTCTCCTTCAGTTCCTCCTTATGAAAGCCTTCTCAGCTCTGACTTGCGGCATCTCCCGGCTGTACTTTGTTAACTTCTCACTGGCCAGATTCTAGCCCAATCCATGGGCAGCTAGGTAAAAACACCACTGCTGAGCTGACATCTCTTTCCCATTCTTTGGGTGTTGTTTCTACTGTACGCAAAAATATTTGGTGTCAACTCCACAGCCAAGGTAGCAGGTGGATAGCTAAATGGATACGTCCAATCTCACAGTTAATATTGTTTTGTAGTAGCAGCAGCAGTGAAATTTGTGATTCTCTTTAACAAACCACTTTTTGTTAAAGAGAATCACAAATTTCTTCTAGAAGTTCTGACAAGGCAAACAACCTGTCTCTACATTCATGCCTCCATATGTATTTTCTCTTTGTCAGTTTCTCATATATATACAGGCATTCATTCACACACACACACACACACACACACACACACTCATTCACACACCTCTAGAGGAAATATTGAAATTTCACAGGTATCTTTCTACAAAAGCCGAAGAACCGTTTAGGGACATTCAAAGCCCCCAACATGCTCACATTTTTATAAAGAAGGCTAAGGTTATCATCAATGCAAATATAAAAATTTCACTCTGATTGGAGCTGAGTATACCTTTAACATATTGGAAGATACTTTACATTTAGACTTTGACAATTATATGGCTTTGAAAGATAACTTCACTAGTTCCCCTACTGGGTACATTTAAATGGATTTATAAAATGAATATTGAAAGTACTAATGCTTTCACAGGCCTTAAATAACGGTAGGAACTACTGATTTGGGACCATGATGATTTCTGTATTCCTAAATACATACACATACAATGTATACTACATATTAAAAGTGCTGTGTATGCAACATATACCAGAAGGTAATTAAAAATGGCAAAAAGTGGTTTGTTAAAGAGAATCACAAATTTCATTCCAGACACAAATGAGCTGTTAAAATACAATATAGCAATTGCTCTTTACTCTCTCCCTCTATCAGACCAATTTGTTCATTTCAAATACAATGCTGATTAGTAGCAATCAACATATAATTAGCCAAAAATGAAGGTCACATTGAGGTAGGGTATCCTAATTGATCACAGTGTGTCCTTTAAATGCTTGTGACACATGTCTGGACTATGCTGGCAGTTAACAAAAAACATAATGCATAAAAATATGGCTTGAATCAGTAGATACACTAATGCCTGGCAGACTAAAAGCAAGTCTCCATTACTGGCAGCTAAAATACATTCTGACTCAATTCTTTGTGTAACCACAAAGGGGCACTTTAAATGTAGTTCTTCATCATTATTTTTATATATTCAATTCATATAGGTTTAACATTCTAATACAAATCAGAATCTGGTGAGTAGAAGAGCTATACTGTAGGTTAAAAGACTACATTTGGTATGAAAAAAGCATATTTAGTAAGTAATCTATGGTGTACTTAACATATATGTAAATAACATGTACATGGGTACATAAAAAACAATGTACAAAGATATTTTTGTCTCATCATGGGAATGATGGATTTGTACAGTGGAAAATTTCCTAGACTGGGAGGAGGAAGATATTAATTCACTCATTTATTCCTGCAACAAATACTTATTAATCACCTACTCTGAGCCTGTTCTAGGCACTGGAAACACAATAGTGAATAAAACAGACAAAACCCCTTGCCCTTAATCTGTTTACTTTCTAGTAGGGTCGAAATGGATAACAACAAGTAAGTAAAATTATTTGTTACAAGATGGTAAAAAAGGCTATGGAGAAAAATGGCTAGAAAGGAGGTTAGAGGCTACAAAGTAGCTGAGAATTCCAGTTTTACATGGGTAATCAAGGAAGGCCTCCCTAAAAAGGTAACATTTGAGGAAAGACGTGAAGACTATTGATCAAGCAGTAGTCATTTGGAGAAAGAGTACTCTAGGCAGAGAGAACAGCAAAGTCTAATGCTCTGAGACAAGAGCACTCCTGGATCCTTCAGAGACAACAGATGGGTAATATAACCTGAGTGTAGTGAGTAGAGAAAGAGTAACGGCAAATGTAGTCAAAGTTGGACAGACAGTGAAGGATCCTGTAAGGCCACTGTTAAGACTTTGCTTTTAGGGGCGCCTGGGTGGCTCAGTCGTTAGGCGTCTGCCTTCAGCTCAGGTCATGACCCCAGAGTCCTGGGATCGAGCCCCACATCGGGCTCCCTGCTCGGCAGGAAGCCTGCTTCTCCCTCTCCCACTCCCCCTGCTTGTGTTCCCTCTCTCGCTGTGTTTCTCTCTGTCAAATAAATAAATAAAATTAAAAAAAAAAAAAAGACTTTGCTTTTAAACTCAGCAACTTGGGAAGCCATGGGGGCAAGGGCTGAACAAAGGAGAAACATAAATGTGACATATTTAATGGGATCACACTGGCTGCTGGGTAGAAAAGAGACTGTAAGAGGCAGAAATTAGGGCAAGGATAGAATCAGAGAGACCAGTCGAGAGGTCATTGAACTAATCTAGGAAAGAGACAATGGTTCTTTGGAAAAAGGAAGAGAAGGTGAAGAGTAGTTAGTCCAGGTATATTTTGAATGGAGACCAGAGGAATTAGCTGAAGATTCACACATGAGTGCAAGAGAAAAAGAGGAATGAAGGATGATTCCGTGTTATTTGTAGCTGACCTCAACTGAAAGAGGGAACACTGCTGGGTTTTGGAGAATAATTTTAAGGATGAAGTTAGAGATTAGGAATTGAGTTTTGGAGATGTTAAATTTGAAATGCCAACTAAACATCCATGTAGACACATTGCATAGTTGGTTGCATATAAAGATGAGGAGTTCAGGGAGCAGACTTATCTGGAAGGCATATATAAATAAATTAGGGAGGGCAGCATGTAGATGATGTTAAAACCGTAAGACTAGATGAGATCACCAAAAGAGTAAAGGAGGAGGGCTTGAATAAACAGTGCTGCTGTTAGATCAAATAAATGTGGAAATGAGAATTGGCCATTGGTTTAATAATATGGAGGTCCATAGTATCATTTGGAGAAAATTGGAGTAGGAGTAAAAGCCTGAATGAGAAGAGAGGATTTAGACACACTGAATATAGACTATTCTTCTGAGGACTTGCAAAAAAGAGGTACAGAGATATGGAGCAGTACCTGGAGGGCGGGGTGTGTTGGATCAAGGAGAGAATTTTTTGAGATAGAAGAAATAACAGCATGTTTGTATACTGATGGGGATGATTTAGTAGAGAAGGAAAAATGGTAATAAAAAAAAAAACCCCAGAAAATTCCTGGAATGATGTGCTTGAGTGTGTGAGAGAGAGATAATGCACAAATGGATGGGCTGACCTTAGGAGCACAGGCAGTTCAACCACATTATGACAAGGAAAGGCTGAAGAAGTATATGAACATAAATGATGACAGGTAGGCAAGAGGATATTACTATAGGAGCTTTTAAAAGTTGTCTTCTAAACACTTACACTTTTTCAGTGAAATAGTAAGCAAAATCAGAGGCTAACAAAGAGATTGGGATGGAGTTCTTAGAGGCTTAAGAGGAAAAGGTATGGAACTGTTTTCTAGAAATTGTTTCCTAGCTAGGCTAGTGAACAGACAAGGGGTTTGTAGTGTGGCTGTGGGACAGCACTAAGGGCCCACTGAGATTAGTGGTTCTGAATCGAAGGAACTATTATGTAGGTTTTCTTCAACAACTCACAGCTACCTGAGTTCAAGCATGGAATAGGCAGAGTTGCACTTAGCTAGGGATGAAGTTTTGCAGGAAGTACAACTACATGGGATGGGGCAAAGGAATTGGGGGTTTATATAAGGGAGTGAATTTAAAGAGGGGTCATGAAATCTAAGTCAGACAGAGAGGGAAATGAAAACATGATGGAACTGAGGGATACGGTGAAGGGCTTAACATTAGGGGTTTGTAGGTCCCGGTGAGATAGAATGATTGTAATTGGAATGTTAGAGGGATTGAGATGGGCAGACATTGGGATGTTTGAAATTGAGATTACGAGGGGTGGTAATTACTGGTATGACAAGGTCAAGGATTTGATCTTGGGAGTGGGTGACTGTGGTAGAAAACAGTCTTGTGATAGAGGTAGTCACAGAACTAAGATGCCAATATCTCAAGTTGGCTTTAGTCTCAGCAGGAAATAAGATATCAAAAGTCTTTGAGAGAGATGAGGAAGAGAGCAAGCAAGCAGATTTACAAACTAGATCAGAGAAGATCTTTGGGTGCAGTTTACTAGTACATGGAACAAAGAGGAAGCAAATAAGTTAGAAGCCTGTTACATTTTTGAGGCAGTTGTGCTGCCAAAGAATTCATGACCTAATCTGAAAAGGCCTTTGACTGTTAAAATAATCTTTGAGGTGCTAAATTTGCACAATAGGAAGGGAGCTTCAAAGTTCTATGGCCCTCAAAAGAGCATATATCTCCAATGCTCAGCAATGATGTGGTCTGAGGCTAGCAGACAGGAAATAACCTCCCAGGTGGTTAAAGGACCATAGGCTGAAATGGGGAATACAATCCAGGTCGAATAAGAATGTTTTCCAGTGCCATGCACCAGAAACCCTTGTGCATTTATCACTCCTCCCTTTCTGAACTGGAGTTTGTATTCTAATAGTCCCAGCCTCATACCCCATTGTGAATTCAATGTGATAAAGAGAGGATGTATCACCCAGAGATCCTTGGACTTTGGGTTAAAAATAGTACTATGTGGGATGCTGGGTTGTCTCCCTTGGAAAGAAGGGTATTCTGGAGGACAGAGGGATAGACTATGGAAGACCCAACTAACTGCCCATTGAAGTCTGTGCCTTATCCCACAATGGCATTGCTTTAGTCCTTCCTTCTTGCATCTAAGTGTGAACATATAAAAATAATATGCATGTTGTAGGAGTAGAAATGTAATGTGTGAACACTTCTAAACCAAGGCTTATAAGAGCAGAGATGCTTATTTATCTTCTGTTTCCTTCTGGCAAGTAGATGCAGATGACAAGAAGGACTTAAGACAGAGCCACTAGGTGAAAGGAGTCTGGAGAAGAGTTGCCCACTGACCAAAACCGCCAGCCTTATACTGTCACATGACCAGAAATAAACTTTATTATGTTAAGTCACTGAAAAACTTGAGTTTATTAGTTATAGTAGCTAGCTTTGTTCTTCCTAATACAGATCTTGAGAAAAATACCACTTCTCAGGGTTGCAGTTTGTTCATTTTATAAAAATAGGTGGTTCAACAAAATCACTGAGAATCTTTAGTGATACCATAATGATTAATCCTGCTTCATTTTGATTGTATATGAACAAACATGAGCTCATGCTTATGTCTTCCCACCTTCTATAAATTCACCATTAACCATACACACCCAGAATTGAAATGGAATTGCTGATTCTTTTATCCAAGAATGTTCAAAATTGCAATGCATTTTTTGCCTTACCTGTGTGGTAGGGCACTGTAAGTTTACCACCACAGAGGGACTGGTACAGCTGAACAAGTTAAAGTAAAACAAAATGGTCTTGTTCCTGTTAAGAAAACAGCATAAAATAATCTTTTTAGTGACTGTGGAAATAGTCCATATCATTTCAGACCCTGTACACTTTTAATATAATGACCTTTAAAATTTGGCTTCATTTTCCCTAGACAGCTACAATATAGTCCCCAACTCCCCTTTAAGCTGCCTAACATTCAAAGCTCCTTTTTGTAATAGTAAAAAACTGAAATCATTAAATTGTCCATCAACAGTGGATTGGTTAAAGAATTTTAGTCCACAAAGAAGACTATAGTACCACTGGAAAATAACATTGAAGAAAATGTTTAATGGATGGATAAATTCACAATACATTAATTTTAGGAAGCACGTTACTAAAGAGTATTAAAATATAATGAGATTTTAATTTTTCAAAAACAGGTAAAGCATATGCAGAAGCAATATATATGAATGGTGGGATAATATGTTTAATTTTTATACCTTTATGGATTTTCTAAATTTATTACTTTGGTAAACTAAAAAAAGATAAGTAAATTGAGTGATATCTTCTGTTTGAAATTGTGGTCAGTAGCACAGTAATGAGGCAGGCTGATACTCACTATCACTAGCATTGAGTGAAGTATTACTCTGCCATTTAGCAGTCAATGATTCTCTTTTGAATCTCAATTTCATCTGTTCAATGGGGATAATACCAGCCCTACTGACTTCACAGTGGTGTTGGGAGGACATAAGAGAATATGTAGTGAACTCAAGACATGTGGCTGTCCAACTTTAATATGTATCTCTAAAATTTGTGAGTGTTTGTTGAAAATTGTGATTCCTGACTCCTTCTCTACCCTTAAGAGCCCAAATTTCAGGATATGGGGCCCAGGAATTCACATTTTATCCCTATTCTCCCCAGATTTATCTATTTGCTTTTATATAAATTCCACTAGCCAACATATATCATTAGTTTCAGATGTAGAGTTCAATAATTCATCAGTTGTGTGTAACACCCAGTGCTCATCACATCACCTAGTTACCCCATGCCCCCACCTACCTCCCCTCCAGCAACCCTCAGTTTGTTTCCCATAGTTAAGAGTCTCTCATGGTTTGTCTCTCTCTCTGATTACTTCCCATTCAGTTTTCCCTCCCTTCTCCTATGATTCTCTATGCTGTTTATATTCCACATATGAATGAAACCATATAATTGTATTTCTCTGACTTATTTCACTCAGCATAATACCCTCCAGTTCCATCCATGTTGATGTAAATGCTAAGTAGTCATCCTTTCTGATGGCTGAGTAATACTCCATTATGTATATACACCACATCTTCTTAATCCATTCGTCTGTGGACATCTCAGCTCTTTCCATAGTTAGGCTATTGTGGACACTGCTGCTATAAACATTGAGGTGCAGGTGCCCCTTCAGATCATTACGTTTGTATCTTTGGGGTAAATAACTAGTAGTTCAATTGCTGGGTCATAGGGTAGGTCTATTTTCAACCTTTTGAGGAACCTCCATACTGTTTTCCAGAGTGGCTGCCCCAGCTTGAATTCCCACCAACAGTGTAGGAGGGTTCCCCTTTCTCCACATCCTCGCCAACATCTGTTGTTTACTGTCTTGTTAATTCTAGCCATTCTGACTGGTGTGAGGTGGTATCTCATTGTGCTTTTGTGTTTCCCTGATGCCAAGTGATGTTGACCATTTTTTCATGTGTCTGTTGACCATCTGTATGTCTTCTTTGGAGAAATGTCTGTTCTTGTCTTCTGCCCATTTCTTGATGGATTATTTGTTCTTTGGGTGTTGAGTTTGATAAGTTCTTTTTTTTTTTTTTTTAAAGATTTTATTTATTTATTTGAGAGAGAGAGAATGAGAGATAGAGAGCATGAGAGGGAAGAGGATCAGAGGGAGAAGCAGACTCCCTGCTGAGCAGGGAGCCCGACGTGGAACTCGATCCCAGGACTCTGGGATCATGACCTGAGCCGAAGGCAGACACTTCACCGACTGAGCCACCCAGGCGCCCCTGATAAGTTCTTTATAGATCTTGGATAGTAGCCCTTTATCTGATATGGTATTTGTAAATATGTATATTAATATTAATGTAGTGTATCACATTGATTGATTTGCGGATGTTGAACCACACTTGCAGCCCAGGAATAAATCCCATTGGTCATGGTGAATAATCCTTTTAACGTACTGTTGGATCCTATGGGCTAGTATCTTGGTGAGAATTTTGGCATCCATGTTTATCAGGGATATTGGTCTGTAATTCTCCTTTTTGATGGGGTTTTTGTCTGGTTTTGGGATTAAGGTAATGCTGGCTTCATAGAAAGAGTCTGGAAATTTTCCTTCCATGTCTATTTTTTGAAACAGCTTCAGAAGAATGGGAATTAATTCTTCTTTAAATATTTGGTAGAATTCCCCTGGAAAGCCATCTAGCCCTGGACTCTTGTTTGTTGGGAGATTTTTAATTAAGGCTTCAATTTCCTTGCTGGTTATGGGTCTGTTCAGGTTTTCTATTTCTTCCTGTTTCAGTTTTGGTAGTTTATAAGTTTCCAGGAATGTATCCATTTCTTGCAGATTGCCTAATTTGTTGGCATATAGTTGCTCATAATGTTCTTATGACTGTATTTCCTTGGTGTTGGTTGTGCTCTCTCCTCTTTTATTCATGGTTTTATTAATTTGGGTCTTTTTTCTTTTTGATCAGTCTGGCTAGGGGTTTACTGATCTTATTCTTTCAAAAAACCAGTTTCTAGTTTCGTTGATCCATTCTGTTTTTTCATTTCTATTTAATTGAGATCTGCTCTAATCCTTATGATTTCTGGTCTCCTGCTTGGTTTAGGCTCTATTTGCTGTTCTTTCTCCATGTCCTTTAAGTGTAAGGTTAGTTTGTGTATTTAAGACTTTTCTAGTTTCATGAGAAAAGCTTGTATTGCTATGTACTTCCCTCTTAGGACTGCCTTTGCTGTATCCCAAGGGTTTTGAACAGTGTGTTTTCATTTTCATTTGTTCCCATGATTTTTTTTTAAATTTCTCTTTAATTTCCTGGTTCAATTCATTGTTTAGTAGGATGCTTTTTAGCCTCCATGTATTTCAGTTCCTTCCAAATTCCCTCTTGTGATTGAATTCAAGTTTCAAAGCACTGTGGTCTGAAAATATGAAGAGAACAATCCCAACTTGTGACCCAGGATGTGATCTATTCTGGAGAATGTTTCATGTGCACTCAAGAAGAATGAGTATTCTTTTGTTTTAGGATGGAATGCTCTGTATATATCTGTGAAGTCCATCTGGTCCAGTGTGTTATCCAAAGCCCTTGTTTCCTTGTTGATCTTCTGCTTAGATGATCTATCCATGCTGTAAGTGGGGTGTTAAAATCCTCTACTATTATTGTATTATCAATGTGTTTAATTTTGTTAATTGGCTTATATAATTGGCTGCTCCTAAGTTGGGCACATAAATATTTATAATTGTTAGATCTAATTTTTGGATAGACCCTTTAAAAGTATGATATAGTGTCCCTCTTCATCCCTTACTACAGTCTTTGGTTTAAAATCTAATTTGTCTAACATGAGGATTGCTACCCCAGCTTTATTTTGATGTCTGTTAGCATAATAAATGGTTCTCCACCCCCTCACTTTCAGTCTGGAGGTGTCTTTGGGTCTAAAATGAGTCTCTTGTGGACAGCATATCAAAGGGTCTTGCTTTTTTATCCAATCTGATACTCCGTGTCTTTTGATTAGAGCATTTAGCCCACTTACATTCAGAGTAACTACTGAAAGATATGAATTCAGTGCCATTGTATCAACTGTAAAATCACTGTTTCTGTTTATTGTCTCTGTTTCTTTGCTGGTCTATGTTACTTGTGAGCTCTCTTTGCTTACAAGATCCTCTTTAATATTTTTTGCAGGGCTGGTTTAATGTTCACAAGTTCTCTTAGTTTCTGTTTGTCCTAGAAGTTCTTTATCTCTCCTTCCATTCTGAATGACAGCCTTGCTGGATAAAGTATTCTTGGTCCCATGTTTTTCTCATTTAGCACCGTGAACATATCATGCCAGCCCTTTCTGGCCTGCCTGGTCTCAGTAGATAGGTCTGCTGTCAGTCTAATATTTCTACCCTTATAAGGTTAAGGACCTCTTGTCTCAAGCTGCTTTCAGGATTTTCTCTTTATCTCTGAAATTTGCAAGCTTCACTATTATATATCGGGGTGTTGATCTATATTTAATGATTTTGATAGGGGTTCTCTGTGCCTCCTGGACTTGAATGCCTATTTCCTTCCCCAGATTAGGGATGTTCTCAGCTATAATTTGCTCAAATATACCTTCTACCCCTATCTTCTTCTCCCTCTGGAACCCCAATAATTCTAATCTTGTTTTGCTTTATACTATCACTGATCTCTTGAATCTGCCTTTCATGGTCCAGTAATTGTTTCTCTCTCTTTTGCTCAGTTTCTTTATTCTCCATAATTTTATCTCCTGTATCACTTATTCTCTCTTCTGCCTCATTTATCCTAGCAGTAAGAGCCTCTATTATTGATTGTATCTCAGCAATAACCTTTTTTATTTCAACCTAATTAGGTCTTAGTTCTTTTATTTCTCCAGAAAGGGAATCTCTTGTGTCTTCTATGCTTTTTTCAAGCCCAGCTAGTATTGTTATACTCATTGTTCTTAATTCTAGCTCTGACATTTTACCAATATCCGTATTTATTAAGTCTCTCACTGTGATTACTGCCTCTTGTTCTTTTTTTTCTGGGAATTTTTCCTTCTGGTCATTTTGTCCAGAGAAGAATAGATGAACAAGAGAACAAAAAAATAAAAAAATAAAAAAATCAACCATGACCCCAGCAAAATATACACTAGGCAAATCAGAAGAGAACAGAAACCAAAAAAGAAAAAAAAAGGGGG